AGAGAGAGAGAGAGAGAGAGAGAGAGAGAGAGAGAGAGAGAGAGAGAGAGAGAGAGAGAGAGAGAGAGATTGGTGACTTTGGGATTTGACGACATTTGGATCCAGACTCGACATTGGGATTCAGACATAAAGACTTGGTGTTGACGACATTCCCATCTTCCCCCCTTCTTCGTCTAACCCCCCTCTTCTTCATCTGTGTATAGTTGGGGACTGGCGCATTCTTCCTGTGTGAGCGCCAGGCCCCTTCACACCATGGAATGATGATGATGTATGTTTGGTCTGCATGGCAACATTGATTGTTCGGATCATTGGTATTTAAGCCTTCCGCTGTGTTATCTTGTACTTTGTGGGAGAGGTCGGTTCTTGTTCTGGTCTGTACCGTTACGGTATGCGACACAAGGCAAACAGGAGGGCAGCACGGCAAGCACCAAGGGAACAAGGCACCAAGGCAAGGAAAGCATCAAGTCAGCACTGCAAACAATGAGGGAACAAGGCACTGAACGGCATGGCAAGCGGGCGGGCGAGCGGGCAGGTGGGTGGGCGGGGTGGTGGGCAGGCGGGACTCAAACACAGCAAGACAGGCTAAGCAACACAGCAAGACATGCAGCAACACAGGAACCCATAGACACAGCGAGGGACAATGTGAACTCTCACCCACTCGCATATATGGAAAACCCGGTAGACTGTAGGTTCACGCCACCATCAAGAGCCAGGAAGCCACCCGGCGACTGTCTATCACCAGCGGAAAACATAGAGACACAGCCATCCAAAACACAACTGCCCCCCTAATAGTGTTGCAGGCACTCTGAACAAACAGGCACCGACTCTTTGGCACAACTCAAAGGTACTAGACTTTGGGACTCGAAAAAAAAAAACAGACAAGGCCAAACCACGTAGCAAGTAGGCAACAACATAAAGTAAACTCGTAGGAGAAAAAGAAAAGGGAGTTATAATAATGATCATAATAAAGTAATATGATTGTGTGTGTGTGTTAAATTTCCACCACAACAGCCCCTACACCACCCAGATGAGTAGATTCGAGTTCAGCCAGCCCAAACATTAAGGAATTTCACCTCTTTCGCAAGCAACATGAATCATAATAGAACCGTCTAGAACTGTGTTTAGCTGCGGTCTCTTTGGGGCAACAGCTCCTCTTTTACTATGTCTCGCACGTACAAGGCTGCCCATGTTGATGGGGTTGAGCGGCAGCTGTCCACATCCCTGTGTGCCTTAACGGCCCACTTGCACGTTATAACAGGAGGCAGAGTAAAGGGGAAGGTATGCTCCTGTGCATTTCACTTCAGATCTTCATACTCCCGTTCATTTCGCTTCAGATCTTCAGCTTATACTTGGTCTTTGTGTCCGTCGTTCGTCTTCATACTTCTGTTCATTTCATTTCAGATATACTTGTCTGTTCTCTTAACAACGCTCATCCGTATGTATTTGCTAGTAGAACATAAGGGGAGGGTGGAGGGAAAGGGATAGAAGGCAGAGTTCTGTAGGAGTGTGGGGTAGGGGGAAGTGGAGTGCAAAGGACCCACCGGCAGTTAAGTCCCGGTAGCCAATTTGCAAGAAGTGCCCAAGGGTGTGCGTTCTTTCCAGGAAAAGAAGGACAAACAAGCAAATCCAAACTTAACCCCGTTTCCAGCAGGTGTTGCTCCCCAGCAATAAGATCGGAGCCACGAACGCCGGGGTAGTACCTGGTGGTGCTCATACCACCCCGGGGGACTACTCTCGACGCAGTTTGTTTTTGTGTTTAAAAAAAAAGAAGAAAAAAAAGAAGCAAATCCGGACTTAACAATGGCAAAACAGAAGTCACACGAATCCACACGGAACATCAAGTACTTAATATTTACAAAAAATATGGTACACTCGCTGGTGCTGCAAAACCATGGGTTCTTGCACACCTGCCATATATTATGGGGGCTCCTAGGTACGAGAGAGGAGTCCCTCCTAAGACCATCCCCGTCTCCTCCCAAACACAATTCTCTCCGTTCGTGTGCATGTACGGATGTGAAACCGAACCATAGCACTCAGGTTCTTCTTCCTTGCTCATATCGCTGCTGCTGGAGGTTTACCAGGAAGGCTTCCTTCTCATCCTCTGGAAGCGCGTTGAATATGAAGATGGACTTGTCGCCAATATCATCCTTTACAGGCTGTGTGAATTTGCGAGCTGCAAAGATATTGAAGAGAATGACCCATGCTCCAAGCAGCACCAATTTCACGCCGTCATCGAGCCCGGCGAGGTGGCCCAGAAGAAAACCTGGTACCACAAAAACCAGAGCACCTGCTTCCAGTTTGCCGTAGCAAAGACCTTCTTTAAATACCAAGGCAGTGAGGGCAGCAAACAGAGGTCCCACTGCCCAGACAGCGGCAGGATGGTGGAGGATATATAAAGCCAGAGGTTCCCCGGACGGCACAGCATAGTTTAGCGCCAATGCAAGCGAGCCGACACATCCGACAGCCCACAGTATCTGCATGAAGCGCTTAATTTCCGTCACATAGACATGGATTAGGAGCAGGGACAGCCCAAGTCCCACTGTTCCGAGCCCATACAGCGGGTCCAAAAGGGACCGTAGGGTACCGTCATCCGGAAAAAGTACTGCTGAACTGCTTATCGTGAACGCTAAGCAGGAAGCGACAATTCCTGACCGGTATAGAAACACCTCCCGTCTGTCAGTTTCCGTTATACTCCACGACCCGTACATCCCATCATAGACTTCCTTTTCTGAGCCCTCCTCGCTGCTGCTGCTTAAGGCACACCTGATCTTCGTCCCGCTCATGTCCGCCCCCCGCCAATCCGGCGCGACAACACCCCTCCAGCGACGACGGAGACTGGTTTTGCTGAGCCAAGTCTCTCTGCCAGCAGCATGGGCTTTCATTGAATGATTGAAAGAACCACGACTTAATCGAAGCCCAACGGTTGGGGATGCTTGGCGCAAGCGTGTTCGTCGACTTCTAGGCCAACTGCTGGACCGATTGCTCGCGTGCCTGCCACCAGGCATGCATGGCTGACAAGCCACCGCACCCCTGGTGCTGTGGTTGTTGCTCAAAGTAACAACACCCATTCCATTACCGCTGCAAGGCCTTCCAAACAGCACAGGCTGCACCTGCTTTCGCTGCGCACATCCCATATTCAAGCCAAATTTGGGCCAAAAACTGGGGGACAATCTTGCACTTAGTGGGGTCCGCAGACCACCACCATCAGGGGCAAGTGCCGCAAAGTGTGTAGCACCTGTTGTTGATGATAACAGAAATGACAACGCTGGTGACGCCATGACGATGGATACTGATACGCCAATGGCCGCGGAGCTGGCCGCCCACCCGGTTCAGGCACACGGACAGTCGTCTTGCCCAACGTCTCAATTTTGTTCACAGCACCTTCAAGTTGCTTGGGGCCACCTACATAGGTTGATATCAGCGGCAAAAGAAACCACAAAACAAAAAAAGACAATGGCCAGAGCGATGCCATGAGGCTCCTACGTGCATCACTATTCCATTACTGGGCGAGTTGCAAAAGTCCGTCAGTTTTTTTTTTTTCCATCGCGATGCTCTCGCTATCCCCCTTACTTATATATATATTTTTTTCACACTGGGCTCTTCAACTTTCCAGACAACTTACGCAGTCGTCATTGATATTTATTTATTTACTTTTTTTTTTGTTGCCTTAACTTGTGTTTCAGCTAATGTGAGTTCTTTTCTAAGCTGCACAAAACCTTTTTTTTCCCCCGTCTTTTCTTTTCCGTGGTGTCTTACCCATGATTGCACTCCTCAGGTACTCGTTGGAGAATACTTTGCAACCGCTACTTTTCCCGGATATACTTGACCGCATTTATGGTCAGTGCTGGATGTATCTGACTGCAATTGCGTCCAGAGACCAGTTGAGCACGCCCTTTGTCTATTTAAATCCATCACTGAGCTGCCAACCCCACAGATTCGTTGGAGGGCTGCTGAAGCTATATTTTATTATTTTGGCTTTTTGTAAGTTTTTGAACTTTTTTCTTTCTTTGAAATGAAATCCTTGTATGCACCTAGTGGCCAAGGCAAAATCTAGTACGCTCATAGTCCGAATTATAATAAAAAAAAGAAAAAGGGGCCACCAGGCCTCCAAGCCCTCACCCTCAGGCCGAGCCTTGCCCTGTGAAAAGTTTAAACCACCAGTAGTTCTCAGGGTCGCGGTGTGCATGTGGCCAGCCATTGCTACAATGCCGCGACGTTTCCACTTGAATGAATTCATCCCAGCGCCCCAGGTTTGTTCATCCCAGCACGTCGCGGCGAGCATGCGGATGCGGCTTTGGGAAGTACTGGTGGTTTAGAGAAAAAGAAGAAGTTCAGAAAACACTGACGTCACTCCCCATTTACATCAAAAGCACTGACGTCGGCCCTTGTTCGTGGTTGGCCTACAATGGTATGCTACTATGCATCTTTCATTTTGCTTCAGTTCATTTGCTTTATCTTGCTAGCGTGCGCGTAACAGATTTGCTGCTTCTTGGTGCATCTTTCATCTCTGTTTCTCATGCGAACGACTGTACGTGTAATGCAGTCTTTTAAACTTTTTTTTTTTTTTTTTTTTTTTTTTTTTTTTAATAATTTGGACCAGTGCTCGATTTATGCGTGTCATCCTTGCACAGGGGCCATGCTAATCTTCATTCTCTGTATCGTTCCAATCCCGAAGGACACACACGTCTTCTTTCTTTTCTTTCTTCTCTATTTTTCTTGTCTCTTTTCTCTTTTGTTTTTGTTTTCTTTTTCTCACTTTTTTTGCCTACAATTTGCTACTCTATCATTGAAAACAGCAACTTGCTGCAGCTAAGCTTTTCATTTCTATAGCACACACACATTTCTGAGAGCATTTAACGTTCCCAAGCATGCCGTGATTCGATCCCGGGACCTGTCGCTGTTGTTGTTGCCTTTTCTGCTATGTTGTATGCCTGTGTGATGCTGTTGGAGTTTGAACCCGGGACCTTGTGTTGACTTACCTGTGCCTGATTCGATCCCGGGACCTGATTCGATCCCGGGACCCGTCGCTGCACCCTGTTGAGGATTTAACGTTCCCAAGCATGCCGTGATTCGATCCCGGGACCCGTCGCTGTACCGTGTTGTCAGTGATGACGGTGCTTTTGGAGCCATGAACCTGAGACCTGCTCGTATGTGTACGTGAAGTCAATGCTTAGAGCATACTCACACTAGTTCCTCAAACACCCGCAAAATAACAAAATGAGCGGCCAGATTAAGTCCTTCGGTTACAAGGACTCAATCTGGCCGCTCATTTTCGGGTTTTGCGATTTTGTGATTTTGCGATTTTGAGGGCCTAGTGTCCGTATGCCCTTAGTACCGGTCGTACAGTAAGTGTCCCTCCAGCAAGTATCCTGTGTGATGCTTCCAAGGGCAACACGGCGGAAGTGCCCCGAGGAAAACAAAACTGCGGAATTCGTTTTTCCAGCCCCATTCATTCTGCGTGGTGCTGTTCCGTGAAAAATCAAGCAGTGCGCTGTGTGGGCGAAGAAGACCGCCATAGCTGGATTAGTACGGCAATTGAGTTGGCATCCGGTAGCTGTCGTTTTCTGTTATTTTTGGAGCGGGATTGTGCTGTTGCGTCGGCGGGTGTTTGTTGGAGAGAGAGCTTTTGCTTTGCAGTGAGTGAGCCATCGAGTGGGAGCATCACTTCGATGTGCAGGGACTCAGGGAGAGATCCTGTGAAGAAGAGAGAAGCAGACCTGCTTGTGGTAGGGGAGACATTTAGAGGGTTTGCATTGTGGGAAGCTTCAGTGAAGTTTCAGCGAAGAAGAGAGAAGGAGAGCACATGAAGACTGCGTTCAACTCTGACCTTCATCTTTTCCTTCAGCAGCGAGTGACAGGGGTTGCACTGTGGGAAGCTTCGGTGCAGCTTCAGTGAAGCTGCAGTGAAGCTTCAGTGAAGCTTCAGTGAAGTTTCAAGTTCAACTCGATGGTGTAATTGAGATTATTGAGCCAGGCCTGTGATCTCGAATTCGCAAGGCTGTGAGCATATTTGTGGGGTTGACCCACCACCATAGCTGCGCCATCTACAACTTCGTGTTGTGTGCGTGCGGTATTTGATGACCGTAACTCTGATGAAATTTCGTTGAACTGTGTGGCGATTCTCGAAGACAGAGGACAACTTGATTTTCATGTGTTTGGTGTGACCACCATAGCTGCACGCTCACATGGAATGGATGATGCATCAGTGAGGGTCTCCTTGCATTTCTCAAAACGTCTCCAAAACTGATATCCGCTAATGCATCCTTCAACATAGACCGATTGAGGGTGTACTCACACACTAGCACTGTCGTAAATGTATCTGACTGCATTCAAGGCCAGACCTGGATGTATCTGACCGCAATTACATCCAGAAACAAGCAAAATGTCTTGAGAGTGAGCATGCCCTGACGACGACGACATGCAGTCTACTACTTTCAAAACGACCTGACGTCTACCCTAAAAGATGGCGCTTGCCGTACTCTCGTCCTCCCTCAAGTAATTACAGAGATTTTGTCTGAGTTCCCTATTGATACAGTGACTCATCTCATGCCGGGAGGGCATTACCCCCCCCCCCCCCACTCTCTCCTCCCCTCCTCACCTTGTCTTTTCTATGTTCCCAGGGCCACTCGCAAAGAGGATCTGATTTAACGCCCGGACGTGGAAGTGTGCTTGTGGACAGCTGCAGATACTTGCATGTAATGTGCTTTTCTTCTGCATCTCTGCTCAAAACCCATCCAGATTCAGACACTCCACTCAATCCTCTTTGCTGGTAGGACTGTGCCCCAGATATTCCACATCACCCCTGGAGGACCAAGAATCAAATTTAGACTTTAGTGGATAACCCTAAGCATCAGCCTAAGCCTATGGCCTAAGATTATACGGTGATTTCAATCTTCGTTTGAACTTTAAATACTTCAATTATTTTTTCAACAAGGTTAAGCCTGATACAATGCTGGTAGTCCCTACCATTACTGCCTTTCTCTGAGTTTGAACCCATAACCTGTTCACCACCAACAGGTTATGGTAAACATATGTGTACCATTAACCCCGATGGGCCTGGGCCAGGGCCAGGTAGGCAAAAGGTGGTAGCTCAGTCGGTCAGAGCAGTACTGACAGCATCGCAACGGGGGGGCAGGTTGAGTGTTCAAATTTGCCGATCCTCGTCCTCTCCTGGGCACGCAGAGTTGGTGTTAGGTTGACACCCCAAGCACTTGCCCCCCAGCCTAGCACAGTACATAGGAGCTCATACAACACACGGGGTCTTCAGGAGGTAGATAGGCGAAAGACACTGTCCCATGGGTCACCTTTGGGGGGGGGTGTCTATAGGGGTAGTGCCAAGAGGGGGAGCACCACTCTGCGAAGGCATCATCATGGAGGGCGGTTAGCATCCTTGTAGGGGGTGTGTGCAGCATAGGGGGTTAGTCTGCCTTGAATCACAGGAGGTGGGTTGGGTTTCGGGGTCCACGACCCTAAGCTGCCCGGCAAGAGCCCCTGCAGTGGCGGTGGCACCACAGGAGGCAGAGACAGCTTAGATTATGGCAACCGTGGATGTTGGAATACATACAGAGTACATTGGGCATATATGGATAGGCTAGGGTCTTGGAACAGACTGAAAGTTGGGGGGGGGKGGGGGKGGGGGAGGGGAGGTAAGTCCAAGCACAAAGCATACACATCGCTGGATAAGGACTATGCTGGAATTCAACAGACTACAGACCAGCACAGGTACACATACAGAACCAGAACAAAGTGTGTAGCTGACCAATCATCTGACCAGGTACAGAATGCTGAAAAGAATACAGAGTGTGGTTGTGCTGGGTGGCAGGGGTAGTACTTAGGGCTACCGTCTTCCCCCGAACATAACGCATACGCGTTGTATTCAAGTTTTCAAAAAAAAACGGCTTTTTGGAAAGTTAGACCCTTTTCTTCGAATACAAGGGCACTTCAAATATAACGCATTTGCGTTCTATTCGAATAATACGAATATGCGTTATATTTGAATTTCACGAAGAGAAAATTGTTGTATTCGCATATAACCTTTTTTTTCCCCCCCGAAGGCCAACGCCTGCTCCGTTCTTGCCCTGGTGAACGGGACAGGCCCGTGCAGGCCCGTAATCACAGATCACTGCCCATGCTCTCTCTCTCTCTCTCTCTCTCTCTCTCTCTCTCTCTCTCTCTCTCTCTCTCTCTCTCT